CTGAAAAAGCGTTGTTAAGGATGATCAAAGATTCGGGGGCTTCTTTGGAACGTTGCCGCACGCCTGGCCGCGACTCCCAGTCCCTTTGACGGTGCCGCATCGGACACCACGGGGGCGAGTTTGGCTGGGAAAGTGCTTTGATTGGTGGACTGCCAAACGGGCTCGATCGAGCTAATGCTGATCCTGTATAGGGAATTCCATGTGTACCAACCGGATTTGTCTACTCGACGTAAACTCCGTTGGGCGTATTTCGCGAGGGACGGTAGCCACGGGTCGGATGAAATTAGGATCCGATGGGGATTCTTATCGCAAGAGCTCCGATAAACGGACGCCAACCAGCATTTCTTCGAGCTCTTTCGCGGTTAAGTGTCGGATAACGAGGGACTCGGAGTATCTTGTTTCTCGGAGGGTGCTATTATGCGATTCAGCTTTGTCGACTCATCCACAGAATCGTCTTTTAGAAGGGCGCTTTAGAAGGATTAATAATAATTACAGCCAATATATCCGCGAATCAAGTAGTATGCACTTTCCATCAGAACACGAAGGTCAACCAAAGTCTCGTCTCAATCAACCAGAAATAGTAGAGACTATACGCAACTCACGTTAAAAGTAAACTTAGCCTTTCATCAATACAAATTGATCCAGCCACGAGAGCCCCCTCTTCACCTCGAGTACAAAACTTCATACCAACAATATCAATCTTGAATTTAAGGAAGTCATCTACAGAGACCTCCAGTAAATTCATGAGGTTGCAAGAATCGCTTAAGAAATTGCCAGTTGAGAATATGCAACTTTATTCGATGCGTCACCGCTGGGCGATGGAACCTCGCCGCGGTGACGCAGCTGGAGACCGGGTGAGGAGAGAATCGCGAAGCAAAGGAAACGTATTTCGGTTCGACTTCCCTGTTCATCGGATTCGGAGCATGTACTCGGGCAAAAAGTTGGCGAAGACGTATGTTCCTCGGCGTCTAGCGGCCCCGAGCGAACCAGTTCTCGCCGCGTGGCGGCCATTTAAGCCTCGGCTTAACCCGGCTTAAAGCGTTGCTCGGCTCCCTCGCGTACTTCCGCCACGTTCCGTTGCCGGACCGATGCGCCGCGGCTTTTAATCGAGCGCCGCAGGATTATCCCGACCGGCAATCTTCGGCTCTGCCTCCAAATTCTGGCTACCGTCGTTTGTATTTCATCGTTCGATACCTGGAGAACCTCTCGATAGAGACGTCTTGCACTCGTCAAGATCAGCGTTTTGTTTGCAGAAATCGATTTTTATGGACATAGATATTACAAACATATTAGAAGCTGTAGAAGAATTATCATTGGGTTGGTGTACATTTAATTATGTTTTCATTGATATCAAGAACTGGATATGTCACGTGAGATTCTTGATCTTTTCAGTATCAAAAGTAGCAAATTAAATGATTGCATGTACGATTTGCATATATTTTTCCCTATTTTCACTGTAATAATTCTCATCTTTTGAACATTTCTAAGAAACGCGATTTCTTAAAGTCCCAAACCCTTTGCCAACTCGCCAAACCGTTACATAAATTTCCGATTGCAAAGGAAATTGCCAATGAATTTTTCTGTACACGAAGGAAATTGCAAATTTGTAACAGGGTCGAAATGAAATCTCAAGTCTCGTGCCAGCGTCCAGACTTGTAACAATATCTTTGGAAATCTCAGAGGGTTCGAATTCTCGAAGTTGCGAGAATTTCAAGGATATCGCGAGCACCGAAACTCGCGTGGAGTTCAAAATCTTTGGAACTGGGAAGTTACGAAAAGCAAATGGTACGTTGAAACGCTCCAAGTTCACAGCGGGAAGTTAAGCAGGCGATCTTCCTACTCTCTAAATCTTCCGGCAAGCATCGCGGTAACCTCGAGTGGTCGGAACCTTCCAAGTGGAAGAAGACCCAGGAATCCGACGAACGTGAAAAGTCGCGGGAGTCTCTGGAAAAATTCGAAACCTTCCGTCGGGAAACCCCGACGATCAAATATCATATTCGCCCGTTCCGAGTTTGCGACGAGAAATTGAACAGGAAATTCTTCCTTGGAAAGTCTTTTGGAGGTTGTAAATGAATCGAAACTCTTGGAAATACGTATATAAAAATATGTATAAAGGATGTATGCTAATACTGTTTCTTATCGAGATGTAGATCGCAGCAGTCAGAAAAGGTAGAAATTCGTTCGTTGCAGAAAGAATAGCCAAATAATAATCGTCAGTAATGTCACAATGTTTATGCGACTGGTGGAGTTAATCGATTCGTGCAGTGAGCGGTTCATGTAGTTGAAATTCGACGACCAAAATGATCTAGGTTGCTTGTCGTTGGTTCTGTAAGGTAGGATGATGGCAAGAGCGTGAACAGAAACTAGATGACCCAGTTAGATCGGAACGGTTGTGGGAAGAGATTATCCTGGAATCACGGGGACTCTCTTTCGATGGTGCGGGTCGATGAATGAATAGGTATATTGCAGGGGTGATGGATTTCCAGAGACCCTTTATCGAATTCAACAAGCGAGAATTCCCGGAAGGTCTGATTTCTCCGGAGACCGTCTGAGCGATGGGGGAATCAGATTGACCGAACGTCCAAGAATCGAGAGGGGTTTGCTGCCTCCCTTTTGAGTATCCGCTTCCCTCTGCCATCCGTGTGCTTATCCAATTAAAGCACGATATTTTCTGGTTGGAGATTAGGGAATATATATATCTGATAAATCGACTGCTATCGCTGGAATTATTCGACAAACGTGCTGTTCATTATAATAATAAGTAGTATATCGCTCTATCAAGCGTGATGGACGACCGAGGGTTGAAGAACACAAACATACTGTACTTCTATTTATTTAAAGGATTTTCTCGCTATATAATAAGTAATATTTCTTACTACAAACCAAGAACTCGCCAATCGATGATTTAATCCTCTGCCGTATTTTATCCGTAAAGGGTGATATTATTTATAAGACTGCGGAGCTGTCAGAAATGTCCATAAGGAAATGTCATACGCAAATCCTGTAAAATACTCTCCGCGAAATTTATAGAAATCGTTTTTCTTGAGTTCCCGGTCGGCCACATTATGCGATGGAGGGTTAATGAAAGCGGAAATGAGTTGTCTTCTTTGGACAGCGGAAATGAGCTAGCTTATTGTCGCTGGAATAAGGCCGCTGACGGAGCGCTGTAAACGTGTATTATAATCGAGGAAGTCTGTGTTGTGAAGTAACGTAAGATGTAGCTTCGCGAAGGTTAAGAGCTGCAGGTATAAATCCAAATAATAAAGAACCCTGATATTTACTCCGTAGAAGGATATTTATAACTCAAACGGCAAATGCTTAAATTTGTAATTTATCGAAGAATTATTTCTTATTAAATATGGAAAACGAGTGTTCCTTTTCACAGGCCAATTCGCTCCCAGGATAAGCCCCTTTTTTTATCGTGCGATCCTAAAGAAGTTCGAGCAAACAAATCAAATTCTGCGTGCCAATCGGCCCCAATAAAACATCGGTATTTATCACAAATCTTATCGCGTTATCTCCTCGCGTTTCAGCTGGATTCGGCCAGTAAAGCGTCCTTATTCGCGATTCCGTCCAACTTGAGCCCCCCGAAACCCCGGCGAAACACATCGGCCACTGCTTTGGCTGGGATATTTATTGCCTGGCCGTGGAGCGTTATCGAATGGCCTGCCATACCCAAAATCGTGAGAATTCCAGTTAACCTCACCGACGCACGTTCGTGCATACAGGGTGTAACCTAACGAAACCTCAGAATTAACAGAACTAAGTCTGCAGATTTTTAAGTGGAATTGATTCAAGATTTAGTATAGGATGTTTACGTTCTTGTGACTGTAATGGTGTCTCAATTATTCCAAGTATATTCAAAAGAGTTAAATAATTTTGTGGGTTAGGTTGTGGAGGGTTAAGAGTTTATTTTTGGGAGTCTATAATCTTTCCAAAAATTCCTCTTTTCCTATTACATTCACATCTTCTATTGACCACTACTCTGATAGTGGTGGATACAACATGGAAGGGGGTCTACTGAGACCAAAATAAAAAAATCTATTTCTTAAATTTCATTTTCCGAAATTCATTTTTATTATAATAAGATTCTCAAATGATGAAAACCTCGAATCAGTTAGCTCTCTTCTCAACGTGAACCCTTGACCCTGGATTCCCCAGGTTTAGTACCGACCCTGTACATAGAAACCTGGTAAAATGGAACAGAACGAAACGGAACGGAACGAAGAGGCAAGGAAGTCGGACGAAGGACGGGGAGGAATAGTGCGGTGGTTGTCGGTTCGAGAAGGGCCTTTGACTGGCGAGGGGACCAAACCAACCCCTCAGGTTGCACGGTCTGCAAGGGTGCGCGATATTGATTCTCGCCTACCGCTTCCACCGACGTTCTGCCACCTACCTGTACCCTGTGACGGTGGTTCAATGGCGGTGGTGCGGGGGCGGTTGTCTCCCATGCGACGCTTCTCCCGTTCACGCAGACGGTGGGCTCGTTGCACGTCTCAATGAGCCACGACACGATCGAGCCGTCGCTGTCTCTCCTTATCCCTGATAATCGATAACGATCGCACCTGGAGTGGCTGTTCCGTCAGGATAAAGATCTCCCGGCGCTCTTCGATATCGAGGAAGCGGCTCGATCGAGTCGCGCGATACTTGATGGGATTCCCCGCCTCGTCGTCGAGTCGTGGGGGGCGGGAGGGATCGAGAAAAGGTGAATCACGATGACTGCGCGAGTCGTTGGCTTCCCGAGATTCGTATAAATTTCCGACATTGGATCCACGGTTTGCTCCGGCTAGTCGATCTCTCGTGCAAGCTGTTTCCCGCCGAGTTGATCGCGATTCGAGGAGCCTTACGCCTCTGTAAATGATCAACAAATCGGTTTCTGGAGTTTAGGGGTTTCTAGCATGATTGGGCGATTTGTTGTCAATTGAAGTGCGCTGGAATGATTTTGATTGTTAGGGGCGAAATGTTCAGTGTTGATATCCGTAGTTTCCTTCTGATTTCAGATCACCAGTCGGCGTGACATGGATGTGAGCTTCACGAACTTATTAGAGGGGGCTCGCCAGTACTTCCAGGGTCTGCCCGTGCCGAGTACAGGTGGCGCGACCGTGTCAGCGGATCACAATCTCGCGACGTCAACGAGTTCCACCTCGTCCACATCGGGCTCTCACGATCATGGCATCGCCTCATCCGTGGCTCCTTCGTCACCAGCACCGCCAGCACCGCCAGCACCACCGCCACTATCGCTACCGTCGCAATCGACTTCGAGCAGCAACGGAAACGATCAGGAAACGGCTCGTTATCCCGGCGATGCCAGGTCGTCGTCGGTGGACAACAGCGGGGCCAGTTCCAACACCTACTGGAGCCCATCCGTCGAACCCTATCCTCCTCAACCGACCAGAGTCGAAGTTCCCGACACGAGGCCAGATGAAGCCTCCACCATGGAGGCGAGCTCGTCGTCGTCCAATACCATCACGTTAACGGAGATGCAGCCATCGAGCGGTCGATCGTCCGTCGCGTCCAACTATTCCCAGAAGCAGTCGTCCAACGATCACCAGCACCACTCGCAACCGACGACGACGGTTGCTGAGGGGAGCTCTCACTTGCACCAGATGCAACCGCTCCAGCAGCCGGTGTCCCCGGGTCCGGTTTACCAGCAGCTGAACACCGTCTCCAGAACGTCCTTCTCCACCGCGGAAATACTCGCCTCGTCGCACCAAACGACCTATCAAACTGCCACCGATCGACAATCGCAATCGAACCCGTCGGTCGTAGCACAGAGGAATCAATACTACCCCCGTTACCATCATCCCGACATCACGAAGAGCGCCTCGGCCCCGTTCGCCCAGAACTCGGTCTATCAGTCAGCCAACGTAAGCGCGACGTCGTCGGGAAGCGTTCAACCCGCGACGAGAGCAACGCCCGCGGAACAGCCCAACGTAAGCGCTGTCTCCAGCCAAGGACACGTCCAGGAGCAGAGGGTACCGAGTTCCTACGGTGCGAGCGCGCCCCCGCCGACGAACTCGTCGATTTACGGATCACCCTCGCCTCAGAGCTATCGCGCGCTTCAGCATCCGTCGCAGGGTCGACCCAGCTCGTCAAGCAATACCTCGGACAGGTCGCACGCGGAACGCTCGCACTCGTCGCGCGTCTCCTCGTCACCGTCCTGTTCGTCGATGAACCCGTGCAGCCCGCGGCACGTGGGTAGCCTGAGTCACATTCCTTCGTCGTCGTCGTCGTCGTCGTCGTCGTCGTCGTCGTCGTCGACGTCGTCGTCGTCGTCGCAGAATCTTCCTGCGCACATTCCCTCGTCGCACCTGCCGTCCGCAGGTACCGTCGGCCGCTCGCAACAGCAGCAATCCGCTCAGATGCAGCATCAGCAGCAGCTTTCTAGTCGAATAAACGCGTCACCCCATTCGATCGGGGCTAACTCGTACAGTGGTCGGATGGTCGTTCACGGGACACCAGCGGCGTCCTCCTCCTCGTCCTCTAATCAGATGCCACCGCCTCCGGCGTTGACCAACTATCATCCCGTCGCCTCGCCCCACGATCCTCCTCATCACGCCGCTCCGTCACCGCACAGACAATCTCCTCACGTGTCCACCCTGCACAATCCTCACGCGTCTCCCCATCACGCTCCCTCTCCGCACGCCAGCTTCCAGCCGCACTCGCCGACTTATCCGCCTCCACCCCCGGCCACCTCCACCTCACACTCGTTCAGCCTTCCCATAACGTCGCAGCACTATCAACCAACCACCTACGCCACCAATCCGTACGCGCTGCCGCCACAGTCTTCGTATCATTCCTTCCAAAAGAATCCTCAACCGCCGCCGCCACCGCCACCGCCGCACACGCAAGCAAACTATTACTCGCAGAGTGCTCGATCTCAAAGCCAGTCCTACGCGCAGCAGATCCAGATGCCGGGCCCACCTCAGTCGATTTGCTCCGGAACGGGAAGCACCAACGGTCCTGGCTATCAGCAGAGCAAACCGGTGACGTACAACGGCGTCGATTCGAAGAGAACCTCGATGGAGGTACCGTACAGCTCCTATCGATCCCAGCTGACGTCCGTTCAGCGAAACACCAACACGCACAACCTTCCGCCCATCGCCGCGCTCTCGTCCTATCATTCCAACAGGCGAGAACCCGCGAGTAAAGCGCAACCGATGCATCGACAACGCGCCTACTCGGCGGCGAGCAAAGTACCCGTGGGAACGCCACCCGTGTCCTCGATGGCGACCCCACAAAGGGTCGGCGAGTACCCAGCGACACCGTCCGCCGCGAATCATACCATGCCGGTGAACGGAAGGACGACCACGGTCACCAGTTCCTCGTACAGCAGATACGCTGGCCAACCAAGCTATCCGACCTACGCGACGACAATGGCACCCAGTCATCAAGGGAGCAACTCGTCCAGCAGTACCACGGTGACCTCCATCGGTGTCACCGCGAGATCTTCCGTTCCACCCACCACGATGCACGCCTATCAGTCTTGGGATGCAAGTCGCACGGGAGGATCCTCCTACCATCATCAACCTGTTAGGGCCAGCGACGATTACGGTTACAAGGAGTATCCTCATCAAAACTCGTTCGTGCAATCCACGGTGGCTTCCGCGATGACGACCCCACCTCCTCAGACCAACGGGATTCGGAAAAGAGAGTCCCCCTTGGACCTGTCCGTGAAGACGGTGAAGACCTCCGCCGACTCGACCGCGCAGGACGACATCGAGATGATCATGACCGAAAAGCACGTCAGCAGTTCCACCGTGATGTCCTCGAGAAGCAATGGCTCCAGAACGATGCTACCTCCCGTGCAACCTCCACCGCAAACGTATCCTGGCTTCGACAATAGATTGTCGAGTAACACCAACGTCAGGTCACACCAGACCTCCGGTATCCGCGCGTCAACCCCTCAAACCGTTTGCGCCCCGAAGGTCGACTTTTTGCCGGATTTCAAGTCCGCGCCGCTGCGTCACCATCACAGCCAACCGCCCGAGAATACTCTGCAACGGAGGAGCTCGACGCAGCATCTGTACGCCCCGCCCCCGCAGTCCCTTTCCTCTCAGCATCCTAATAATACCGTACCACTGCCCCACATGTCCACGTTTAAAAAGACTTCACTGCCCACGACGCAGGTGTACGACGCCGTTACCGCGCCGGCACCGCCTCCGCCTGCCCCGTCCTCCTCTTACCAAACGGCTAGCGATATCGCAGCGTCCAGGACGTCCAGGTATCCCCCGCAGATGGTCGACCCGACCAGGATAGGTCCCAGCGGTCTGCCACTCCAAGACTACCCGTCCGAGTCGAAGTATTACATGGACAGTAGAAGCAAGTTCGGTCAGCCGCCGCCCCAGAGGGATCGAGCGTTGTCCAAGAGGCCTGGGGACGCCATTTACGGAGCGGGAGTGCCGCACAAACAACCCAGACTCGACACCTGGATCCAACAGAGGCTCTCCACCGCCAAGGCACACTACGAGCAGCAGAAGAGGCAAGAGATGAATCTTCCCGCTCCCCTGCCCAACGGCACCCTGGTTGCGCCCAACACCTACGAGCAGAGATCCGACAGCGGCTACTCCTCGTCCGAGTCGTCGAGGTATCAACAAGCCTACTGTGATAAGAGAAGCTACGCGGAGCCAAAGGTTACCCACAGCTCTTCGCCCTACGGTCATCCGATGATCGCCAAGCCGACCAACGTCCACTCGTTGCCGCAACAGCTCAGCACCAGTCAGTCCGCTTACGCGAATTATCGCCAGAGTCAGAAGGCAGTATCTGGTCCCACCTCGGCGAGTCAGCCCACGGAACCACCGAGCAACACCGGAGCCGATAAACGGGTCCTCAGTTTGCTGAGGAATAGCCTGGAGAGCAAACAGCAGAGGGAGGAGCAGATGAATAGCCAACAGCCCATCCTCGCCAATCACAGCCAACAGAGTTTCCAGAATAAGGTATGTTTCCATATTTTTCGGATCTTACACACGCATTGTTAACACTCTGCAGATGGGATACACTGACGCATGAATGTCTCCTTGAACGGGAAGTGTTAAGAGCATTTCGTGGGAAAGTAAAATACGCATGAAGATTCGTTTGCAACATTGTATTGATAATTTCAATTTTATATTTTAAAATTTTCTATAATGTGATATTTCATCAAACAGTCGCCTATGCGCACAAATATTTTTTTCGAACATGTATCGCAGTAGATACGTGTTTGCGTCCTTCCTCCTTTTACTTTCTTATTTCAGCACACAATGTAGTCCCTACAGTTTTCATTAGATCCTATTTCTAAATGGTTAAAATACTTAGGCTGCTTTACACAACGAACGATTACAACATTAAGTATGAAAGGTCCATGCCCTCGTCAAGGGGTTCAGAATAGCGATCGGAAGCGTTTCGCTGGCTCAGCGGCTGGAATAGTCAATTTCTCAGACTAACGTCTCTCCGTTCTCTATTCCCTAAGGTTGTTGCGCCGGTCGAGCCGAAAACAAATATCGGAAGACACAACCTGTCACCATTCACGGCGGCGAGCCTGCTGGAACGGAATAGCAACACGCCACCCCATTACAAGTTCCATGTGCCGCGAGCAGTTGACTCGATCACTCACGAGGCCCCCCGTAGCTTGTACGGCTCGAGAGTAAATTCATCCGCCACGCTACCTGGCAAGGAAGCACTCCTGGGACCCCGAGGAGCCGAGAATCAGATTCACCGTGACAAAGACGACGGCCTCGCCGCCATATTAGCCGCAAAAATCAGAACCAAGGCGGAACTGAAACAGGTGAACGGCGGAGACGTCGCCCGTGGCTCGATACTTGGAAACAAGAATTTAATACGTGGCTTTCTGTGTTTATCTTAGGTGGGCACCGGCCAGTTCACGATGAAATCGACCACTCTTTCCTCTCTGGATGCGACATCGACACCTAAAGGTAGATCATTTACGCATCCATAAATTGTGGTTCTGTAACTGGTTGAGATATATACTAATATTCAGAGGCAGCTCTCTTAATATTTATTGGTTTATAAGGTGCATTGTGGAAGGATGTATTTTTCAAGTTAATTTTCTATGCAGATTTCAAGATATTTTTACATCCAACATACACAAAATATTTCGTTTCAAATCCACTTAAACGAGTTTGAAATTTCTCAACTCAAAAGAGCCTAAATAAAATTAAGGACCGATACAACAAAACCACTTTAATCAAATTAACCTTTGCGACTTCCACTTTTGCGAATGACCCATTTTAATCGCCCACCTAATTTCCTTTCGTAGAGCTAGACAGCGCTTCGACGTCCACGCCGCAGTCGGGCTCGTCGGCGGGCAGTCCGCCAAAGTTAACGCGCGAGAAGGTCGCCTGCCTGCCGCCCCGAAGACGGTTATTCTCGAGGACGGAAGAAGAGAACATGCCGGTGGCTGCGACCGTCCCCGTGCCGGCACCTGCGCCCGCGATCGCGTCCACAGTGCCAGCGCGTGCCAGCGGATTCCGCAGCTCCTCGGAGACGTCGGTGTTCGACTTCAGAGAAAGCGACTCCGAGGGCGAGATGCCGGTTTTAGAGCGGCAGACACTCGAAGAGATGAGGAGGGACAGAAAACAGCTGTCCAAAGTGCAACCACCTGTGCCACTGAACGATGCAATGTGCATGGGTATGACCTCCTCGTCGGACCTCGTGAAAATAGAACTAAAGGTAAGCACGCCTAAGCTCACGAACTGTAGACGTAGCCGCAGATTACGCTAGGCGTCGGGTGGATGTAAATTTTTCTAAGAGACGAATGGAGAGAGTAGATATCGCTAGACACACAGGAGCCAAGTAGACATCTTACACATCTTAGTAGACACACGGTTAGAGTTCGACTGCCTGTGTAGCAAGTGAAAAAATATCGTTCTGTCGATTGTCTTCAGGAAAACGACAAGATCACCGAGGTGGACACGTTCTGGTCTACGACGTGCGACAGGTTTATGGAGCAGTTGCGTACTGGAGACGCGATGAGGAAGCGGGGTCGCAAGAAGAAGAGCAGCTGCACGGTGACGTCGAAGCTGGAGGACGATGGCAACGATAGCAGCAAGGAGTCGGACGCCAACACGTCGCAGATCAAGCCTGAGGACATCAAGAAGGAGCTGGAGGACGTTGGATCGCCACTGGACGTTAAAGAAGAGTTACCTGAAACGAGTAAAGAGGAGGAGGAAGAGGAGGAAGATGAGGACAGTGGCGAGGAGAAGGAGATCAAAGTCGAGGTTAAAGCAGAGCCGGAAGCGGAGCCAGAGGTTACGAAGGACGAGGACGACAAGATCTCGAGCGACGATTCCGATGAGGTCCCGCTGATTAGGCGGGCGCAGAAGAAGATAAAGAAGGAGGACAGCGATTGCGAGGAAGAGATCATATGCAGGAAGAGGAGGGTCCGTCGAGGAAGCAGAATTAAACTGCAGTCGTCCAGTGGTAGCGAGTCGTCCAGCGAGGAGAGCGAAGGCAGTGCAGAGTTTGGTCATGGTTCCTCCGTGGCTGACAGGCTACGAGCCAGGAAGCGTACGAATAATAACGGCACAGAGGCTGAAGGGATGAAGCTGCGATCGAGAGACACCACGCCGCACAAACCCAAGCCAGAGAAGGAGACCAAGGGTTCCACTTCGAAGACTGCCTCATCCCAGAAAGGCAAACCCAAGCCCCTTTTTGGGGATGGTAGCGACTTCAGGCCTGGCTGGGAGGAGGAAGTATACGTGTATAAGAAATCTCTGAGAATGCCACCTAGACTGATCACTGTGTCGAAACCCTCGAGGTTTCATAGGCTGTCTACCTCGTTGCCAGACTTGGACCCAGGCTCTCCAGCTCTGTCCGTGTCGATGGACAGCTCTGACGTCTGCTTGAGCAGAAAGAAGCTCGTGGACAGCGACGCGGAGTCCAACTACAGTCTGCCTGGGAGCAAGATCGACGACGAGGAGGCCACCTCTTCCACAACGATCTCGTGTCCACCGAAACCCCTCAAGTACGTTAAGTCGGAGAGCAGTTCCATCGTGGACGTCCTGGCGCAGAGAGTCGGGACTAGCAAGAAGGAGCAGAAGAAGAAGCAGAAGGAGAAGGCGGACAAAGGAGGAAAGGTGCTTCCAAAAGGCAGCAACGAACCGGAGCTGCTCCCCACGCCAAGCTTGACGCCCCTGCTGGAAACCACGAAGCTGCCCAAGGGCAAGTCTCCGGTGAAGGACAACAAGACTATAAAGCCCATCAAAGTAACGGACTCGTTCCTTCTCGGTTACTTCCGCAAAGAGACCGTGAACAACTTCAGAGACACGTTCAAGAACAACCACGCGTTGCCCAATGAATTCTCCACGCTGGTCCTGAAGAGCAGAACCAGAACGGAGACGCGAGTTCTGAAGAAACAAGCGACAATCAGAGAGGTCTTCGGCGAGGACAGACCAGCCTCAGCTCCGCCTATGCAGAATCACGACGACACTTCTCAAGACGACGATTCGCAGAACGAGACGCCCCAGAACACCTTGGGCAAGGCGAGGTCGTTGAAGCAGAAGGTGGTGTCGCGTTTGAAGAACGCAGGGATCCTCAGGAGCCACAAAGCAATCCTTAACTCCAAACGTCACCTGCTGATCGCGAAGAGACGGAAAGATTTGCTCAAGTCTTTGGCCGAGAAGAAGCTCCAGCGCTTGAAGACGGAGGTGGAGGACGAGGTCGTCCAGGAGGAAACGAACGACGCTCAAGAGGCGGAGAACAACGAGCTCGACGACGAGACCAACGAGTCGGAAGTTCCTAACAAAAAGAAGCTTAAGCTTCGCACCAGTCGGAGAAAGTTTCGCTCGGGATTCGACTACATTCGGAAGAAGAAGAAACCGTTGAAGAAGGACGAGTCGTTGCCTAAGGAGAGGAAGAGGGTAAGTTCTAATTGTTCGGTGTGGTTGATGTTGTGTTGAGACATATACAAATTGTCACGGAGTGTTTACATTTTAGCAAGTGTTGTCGAGGCCCAGCCCGGAATGCGTTGCAGACATTCAGTCGGAAATCAGGACTTGGGTGATCAAGAAAGGCGTGGGGGAGACGATGCTGCATCGCGCTGCCAGACTTGGTTACACGGTGAGACGTTTGCTTCTTGATTGTGTGTTGTTAAGACTTGTTTTCTACTCAGACCTGATCAATTACAACAGAGGTGAAAGCAAAATCAAAACCGAGCTTCTGTATTCTTTTTACAGGATGTTACGGCGTACTGCTTGGAGAAGCTGAACAACGCACCTAGTCCAAAGGACAACGCAGGATACACGCCGCTTCACGAAGCATGTTCCAAGGGCCATCTTGAAATAGCGAAACTGCTGCTCGCTTACGGGGCGAATGCCAGTGAGAGCGCTAACGGTGGAATACGGTAATTGAGTCCGCCAGTCCAGAGTTAATTATCTGAAACGTAGGAAGTACGGTTAAAAATATTAAAGAACGGACTATCTTGTTCTTAGGCCACTTCACGAGGCGGCGGAGAACGGTGCTACAGAACTCGTGCGTCTACTACTTTCCTACGGCGCTGACCCCCTGTTGGCTACGTATTCTGGACAGACCCCACTGATGCTGGCCGCTGACACTGATGCCTACTCGATCCTTGAGCAACATCTGGATGACATTCAGGGCAGGACCAGCACGCCGTGGTCCTTTGGTGGCCCCTCTTCAATTTTCGGTAAGTATTTTTGAGTAGTCTACAAAAGTGTACTGCAATTAAGATTGAAGAAAAAACACTGCATTACACAATACATACTAAAAATAAATGAAACCAGCTTCAAAGCCTGACACACCCCTCGACTTCCCTTCCAGACCTAGAAGAGACGGGTCACAACCCCTTAGACGACCCCCCGATGGACAATCCCGAGCCAGATTTAGACGAAGTTGAGATAGAGTTGAGCGACGTGAACCTGCCCGTGCTGTTCTCGCTAAACAACGACCCTGACAAGTGGGTGCTCCTCCAGGACCTTATGGCGGCCCTTAGGGTGAAGAGCAGGGACGCGTTGCTACGTCAGGTGAACCCTAAAGCGCAGGCGGGTCCGCCAGCGATCGCTCATCGCGACGTGATGCGAGAGCTGAAGCTCCACGATTTTTTGGAGCAGTCCCGTTGCTGTCACTTGCTCAGTGGCGGGGAGAGGATCAACGTCCGAGGCTCGAAGGTGACCCTGATCAAGTACAACGACAAAGTGAGGTCTTTGTTGAGCGTGGAGAAGGTGTTGATCAGTCTCAGGTGACAGGAGGCGTCGCTGGGGCACTCGTCACCCCAGGCCAGACCGTCAACTTCAGCTACAAAGGAGAAGACTATCGACTCAACGAAGGAGAAGACCGTCGACTCGCCGAAGAAGGAGAAAAACGTCTCGCCGAAGCGCGAGAGACAACCCAGAACGCGACAGGGTAACAAGACTGGCGTGGATTGAACGTCGACGCGGACGATGTCACGGAGCTCGAATGTTTAGTCCCCGTCGTCTCTGTGTTTCTTTTTACGACGCAGAGAGACCCGACAGTTTCGCAGAGACCCACGTTCAGTGCAAAGGTACAGTGATTTTAGGGTAGAGTCCACCATGCGACCCAGGGGGACGATGAATCGATGACAACCGCGACTGTGACGCGATTATATTAGCAGTATTTATTGGGGGATGATTCCCATTCGTGTCTACTCGCAGAACAGTGATATTTTATTAATATCCCGCAGAGGGGTTTATCGGGCCCTGTTAATTATAAAACGCTTCTAGATGAAGACTCGCCGCCGTGGCGATAGAAGCAGCACGATCATTAATCGTTCCTGTCCGAAGAATCGTAACCGATACTTCCGAAGCATATTTAAACGTTAAACCCTGGATCGAAATGAGTTGCCCAGGCTCCTCGCGGGGGTTCTCGGGGGCTAGAAATATTTTTTATCGCAAGCTCGACTCGGTGGGGACGATCGACGCCCGAGGGAGCTAGAGACCGTGTGCTCGAGCCGATCCACATCGATCGTGATCGTTCGGTCAGGCCACACCGCGAGAACGAGAACCAATCGTCGGCTTTCACGTTACCACTTGTTAGTTTTATTTTCCTTTCCCCAATCTTCCGTTCTATCCCCACCTCCACCCCGCTCCCCTTTTTTGTACTAGCCAGCAGCGAGTCAAGTCGACCAGACAGCGAGTCCAGTCGACGATCCACGAAACCTTTTACCGTTGTAGATTTTAAGCTAAGCGTTGATTAGTCGTCGAAAGAGAGGCGCATTTATGTTTTCTGTTTTGTTTCTTGTTTGGGGTGTGCAATTTCGAGGACGAAGAACACGTCAGTGATCGAGAGAAAGAGTGCGAGCACCGTGCAATAAATGGCCGCGGATTGATTCTCGAAACCCTCGATCGATGGGGAGGATCGAGTCGTAATCGTTTGCGCATCGAAACTTGGAAGAAGCGACTGACGCGTTCACTGTTGCCCAGTCCCGGCTACTTCGAAGTTTTCCGTCTATGGATAGTCGTCAGACTCTCTTTTCTCTCGGAGGGTTGTTTTACCGACTTTAGCAAATTTTGTTATCGCGATGATTGTTTGCAGTATCGGTTTCTAATTGGGACGGTTGTTGGAATCGCGGTAACGCGGGTTGTCTGGCCAGTTTTCGATTTAATATATCGTTTTTTATTTTACTGCCAGATTTGTTTAAACGAAGAAGGATTTTTTGGGATTGTAATCCCTAGTTTCAGAAATGGGCAAAAATGCATAGCTCCCTTTCAAATATTTCATGCAATTTCGTACCTTATACAATTAAACAATCATTTCCTTCATTGATTAGATTGCCCATTAAGAGCTAAATACAAAGACTTTTGATTTAATCAATATCATTGGGTTTTATCCCGATAGCAATTTTGAGAAAATGATCAACAGTCGGTTACTCACTGGCCAGGTGACTTTACGTCGTTGCAGACTTCCGTGTGATCTGTAGGGTGCAGAAGGTAAGCACGTTTAGCAGTGAACGCGTTCGATTATCGATACAGTAGGAGGAACTGTTTAGCGAATTTTCAACCGACGAGAAAATGACGTTCCTCCGCGAAGCATCGATGGATCCGATATCCACGTACTTAGACCTCTGCGATACGTGTGCTTGTTTTTCGGTGCGTGAGCGTTTGGATGAAATAAAACAGTGGTTCTTCACCTTTGTAAGTTCGCAGGAATTTTAGAAGATTCTTAATTCTTCTAGGCACATGGGTATGGTTTAAAGAAGAACAGGTCTTAATGAATGTGAACATTGGACATTTTTAAATCTATGCAAAATAAAAATTCAATGCGCTTTGTTTATTAGTCAATTACAATTATTAACATCATATTGGCATATGTATATCTGAAGTAACTTGTTAACGTTACTGTTAATTAAATTTATTCTTTCATAATATTGTTGTTAATTCTAGTGTTGTCAATGCGATGTTAATGGTTACTGTCAACCACTTCCCTATCGAATTTTCTTCTGTACTCAGTCAATAAAGAGTAGTTCCATTACTTAACTATTTAAATATTCAAAAGCAGTTATGGAAGTTTATCGGAAGATTTCTGAGTTTTAGTTTAATAATATGTAGTTTTTAAAATTGTTGCTATTCAAAACAGTTTTAGCTTTAAAAACTATTAGTTGATCTTGACAAGCCTATTCCAATGATTTTTTAGTTACTCATTCGTAGGGTTAAGAACTGTTCCAAACAGTGCTACTTTTAATCAATTACCATTTACTTTTACATCGGTGAAGAAACACTGGAATAGAGAAAGAGAGCTTCAGCGTCACAAACTTCTACCCAGTTGTTTAGCAAAAACCAGACTCGCGCGTTTCGTTTGACTCCGTATACAGATTTCGATCGTTCTAATCAGTCTCAGGGAACTATCTCTATGCGTATTCTCTATGTTCCGTGCGTTGTATGAATTTGGACAGAGGCAAGACCAAACAGCCGTTCCTTCGTCGTCGATCATTCAAACGAAAACCTTCATCGTGCGATGAACCTGATTTACCATGGGCAAAATTTCAACCAACAAACAAACGATAAACGAGTCCTTATCTACTAAATAATCACTAAAATTCTTCAAAACAAAATATTTCACGCTGAACAAATAAAGCTTCAACCGTTCAGTCGAATAAACAAATTACGAACGAATGAACACATTAATATTAAATTAAAATTTTGTTCATCCTGATTATATTCTCTCGATGCACCAGGTTGTACAGTAAACGAAGGACTATTATGTATGTCCCAGTATCGATCATGATCGACGAGGATGCGCGTTAGCTGGTCAGTCTCTGTCCCTTAATTTTTATTTAGCTGACGATTTAAAGGAATATAATTCACGAGGACAGTGCAGTTTACACGATGTACATACTACCTATTTTCGAATAAAACGATTTTCGAACGTGTGTGTCTACGCTCCACCCACGGTTTCTCTTTCGCAATTGGACGGTGCGCGTCGGCAAAGAGAACTCTGATGTGCGAGAAGAGATCGTCGGTGATCGAACAGGCGGAGAAACAAACGAAAAGAAAAGAGCGAATTGTACGTACTGTGCGTAATTGTACCTTTTTTCGAGTGTAAAGTAGACCTACCATAACGTACGAGTAAAGTAAAAAAAAATAACGATGATGTGTAAGTAGCAGGCAGAGAACACACGGCGACACATGTTCATATTAGTGTTAAACAACACACGTGCGTACACGATTTTCTGTGCATGGCGTTTATTATAGAAGGACTCGAAGGATTAATTATAATTTCAGCGAACCGAACGGGGGAAAAAAAGATACGCTGCTAGCGTGTTTTTTTTGTACATAGTACTCGCAATATAGGGGCTATCGCAATTACTACCAGCTAAAAAATTAATTATTATTATTATTATTATTATTATTACTATTTACCACTACCGTAAACGGTTACATGCGCGACTACTACCAACCTACCGCTACATTTACTATTACTATCGCCACCTTACTTCCCTAAACCTTTCTACCACCATTACCAACAACTGTCACGAATTATTCGCTTTTTTTATTGTACGATATATACATAATAGCGAACTATGAATGTACATTTTCTTAGCTGTAACGTCTCTCATCCCCTCTCTCCAACCTACCCGGCGCCCTTGTAATTTATATATATTCGAGATACTTCTAAATGTGTTAAACTGCTGCTGCTTTACGAGAAATGAAGGATTATATGTGAAGAAAAAGAACAAATATATTATATATATATATATATGTACATGTATATGTATATATATATGTGTATATATACGTACATATATATATTTTATTTCAGAAGTTTAGTTTAATGAATATATAATGTTAACGCGAGGAAGATTACAAATTAAATTCTCTCTCTCTGTGATTCGTCTAATGAAATGGAACTAAGGAAAGAAGATTAGAGTGAAAAAATATTAAGAAAAACAAAAACAATGAGAAGTTATGGATTATTAATTGTTTAGTATTATTAATTGTCATCGTCACCGTTTATCATTGCTCTGTACCGTAAAGGTGTATCGAACAAGTCACAATGGATCGACAAACTCGATTTTTTCGTAACGAACTCGACTCGTGATTTTTTCTTTTCGCTAATAACAGTAACGAGTTATCCTATCGATGTAATAAAAACAAGTATTTTTACCGAAAACGCTGTTCGTTTGATTCTTGACACCCACCTGTCCACCCCGAGGCTTGGACAAGTACTGGGTAAGTAGGATTTGTTTGTGCGCTTGGAACTTTTATTAAATGTAAACAGTTTCTCTTACCTTACTGGTGAATAAACGAGTGGACCACTGCGTAACATTCTGTAAGTGATAGTAATCGAAGTTTCTGTATGAAAATTAATTGATGAGATACAAAAGAAACTATAAATCACAGCTGAAACAATGGAAGTGCTCAGCCTTCACTATAAATAATTGATCCATCGAATGTCGACCAAGTTTCGTCGGAATTCTCGAAAAATCAAAAAACTAAACGATCGAAAGATAACTCACAATTACCGTGGGAAATTGAAATCGACTATTATGGGAGTACGAATTCGAAAACAGAAAGAGGGGATGCAGGGAAACCGTGTAGGTCGCGATTAAAATTGGTAAAACGTTTATTAACTATTTAAAAACGATGAAACAAGGTGAACATGAGATTGACAATTCAATAAGTAATATTATTAAATAGACTATAGAGGTGTGTAATAAGTGTCTGTAGTAATTATTCTCTTTATACGTTTCCTTTACATCGAGACAGACGTCTTTCTCTGCAATCGTATCTTGTTCTGTTATTTTCTTTTTCACGATTTTTCATCCATTAAATTTTCGTTACTCTTTAACCTGGGCGAAGCCTAGCCCTCTCGTCGTCTCTCTTACATTTTCTCTCTGTATTCAGGCACGACATGTGCGAATCGTGGCGACGCTGCTCGCCATTTCTCGGCCTCTGAAAACTTACACATGGTTTCGTTTCATCGTATAATAACGGTGCGACGGCTGTTGCGTTAACGATTTTAAACACAGGATTCATTGTCGTAGGAAAAATAGCTCGTAGAAAGCGTACCCATGCTAATTATACCCGATTAATCGGCGCTCATTCGCTCACGGGACATCCTACGTAACGAACAGAAACGCAAAATCGACACTTCCGCTCGTCTAACTAAGGGAGAAGCAATCGCAGGGTTCGATCGGATCGAAGCAGAGATCGGCAAAATTTTATTCGAATCGCGTACGAATAAAAGTAGCGTACAGCTATTTATTCCCGAACAGTGCTAAATTTTTGGTTTTCCATTGTGAAATACAGTCGATGATTAAATTCTATGAAAGAATTCTACATTACTTATAAATAAATCTTGGTGTAAGAATAAAAATTAATTCTAGAAAAAGTATTAAAACTTACAAATTATTCGTAAATTTTTAAATAAGCGATCGTAATAACTGGTCACTGTATTGTATTATATGATACAAATTTTTATATTTATTTAACGAGTAATAGCTGAATCATGTTTCAATCATTCGAATAAATTTTTTGCTCATCTTTGGATCGCCGTCACAGTGGATCACGCGATTGCAAACGAAACGGTTACGCTTGCGGATATTACGACGTTGTATACGCTTCCCCTACGATTAAACCATCGTTTATTCGACGCTCGGCAAAATTTCTCTCCACAAAGATCTCTATCGGTGCTTTCTTCTCGATAATCGCACGTGAAACGGTACAGTTGGTGAAACAAATACGGCGACCTGTTTCTAAGTAAATTACGAAAGGTCTTTCAACCCTCCATCGCGTGAGTTTAATTCTATTCTTCTAAAAAGAAATTATTTGTACAAATACTCGTGTGTCGATAAAAAATCATAATTAAAACGATAGAGTAAAATATATAAATTATCCTACAATAATAAATATACAAATCTTGTACTATCTTATATTAAACTATAGTTCGAGTATATTTTTAATTAAAATGTTCAGCAGAAAACCTCTAAATAAAAATTGCCTGATTTCTACAAGGCCTCTCGAGATAGTACCACACTCGAATCTTTTAAAATTCACAGGAATTGCTTTTATTAGATTTCCAGTTGGGCACATTACACAGTAGAGGGTTAAAGTTCTAACATCCACGAAAAAATTCTTCCAAGGTGGCCCTGAGTTGCTGGCAAACTATATCCTGCAGTTTTTACAAGATTGCTATATTTATTCCACCAAGTATACTGCTTTTTCCGCTAGCTTGTGAGTACTGTTCGCAATGAACTCACTGATTGTTTTGCGCTCTGGTCTTTTCGCTGAGCAAGTATCCAGGGTGAAATAGTTACGAGGCGTTTCGTTGGTGTGAGTCGAGGGAAGTATAGCTCGACAAGTCAAATAAGATCCCTGAGCTCGGTTCGAGTGCTGTCCTTGTCATCCTTTCATAGTCTACCTCGTTTTAAACAGTAACGGATGACACTTGTTAGCTAGGCTATAGTCTAATCGCTGTCTAGGTGATAGTCTAATCGCCTAGTCTCATCTCTGTCGCTACCCCAAGGCTTTGACCCTCTATAACCTTCTGTGACTCTGAGGTTACGTGTATATCTATACTTTCAAAGTCTGATTTCATTCTTTTATCAATGTGTGCAATTGTGGCTCTAAAGGTAATAGAATGGGCAACAAACGATCGATGGTTTAATGTCAGGAGGATGTAACTATACTCAGTTTTTAATTAAAAAAGAAATTGACTTAGAAATGCTTCAGCTAACATCAAAGACGTCAGATCAAAAGGGTAGTTTCTGATGCACTCTTTCGTCTTCGGTTTATATAGTTCCAGCCTTCAGACACTCCACCACTCTACTACTCACAACTATTAGGTACAATTGACCACACAAATATAGATACAGTTGGAAGATTACGATTACTTAAATTCACCTTCCTAGTATTCCTCTATTGTCAATGATTATCAGTGTACAATAGTTTCCAGAAACCAGAATTTGGGTTATAGAGAGTAGACCCTCTATTGCATGCACCCAACGAAAACAACCCTTGTTCGATTCATTCAGGAAATTCCATGAGACTCTCATTTAGGAGTATCTAGCGATGAATGTTTTCGAATCGATGAATGTTTTCTATAAGATGAATTGGAATTCATGCAATAAGGGGTTGAACTTGTCGAGCTAAACTCGTTGTTTCCCACAGTTCGTCCTCGAAACGCGCGCATATCTCAGCTTTCTATGGATTGGCCGGTGCCAATCGTAGAAAACGAATGTCGAAAATGAACGCTTCGCTCGAAATTCGAAAAATATAAACCACGGGTGGTGTATAACATTCCCACCCCACGAGAAGCTCCGCTGCCCGTTTAGGTTCACGCTCGCGTTACCAGCATTCCATCTCGATTACCCGGGTACAGGTATTTACAATAATACATACCTACTATCGTAATAATAATTTAGTAGTGGTATTTAAATTACAATAGAGTTCATTCTTTCTCCCAACGCAGCTCGTCGCCTTCTCTCTTCTGTCTCACCCTCTCTCTTCCTATATATATTTTTATGTATATATACATATACATATACATATACATATATATATATACATATATGTATACATATGTATATGTATATATATATATTTTTTTATGTATATATATGTATATATATATATATAATGTTGCACATAACCCAGTACTGGCTTAGTAATCTAGCTGTACAAAACATTATATATCGCTATTCTAGCATCTAGAGATTTGTCCTGTGTGGTTTGATGAATCGTGAGGTTCTCGACATTACGTCTCGTATGTTTGCTCACCCATTATTTATCGCGAAACACGTATGTATACTCGGCGTACAACAATGGAACGACGCGGGGATACACTCGTCGAGTATCGACGTATCGTTCACTTTTATTTTTTTTTTTCTTTCACCTCCTCCTCTTTTTCTATATCATAGTTAACGTTTACGCATCGACAACGACGTCGTTCGACGATTCGAGCGAATACTCCTCCGATTTTCATCTCCGCCGCCTCTTATTGCGATTAAGTACATTAAAAAATACCGCGCTACTTCGCTCAGAATTAACCGGACAAGCTATATATAGTGATCGACGAAGCCAAGTTATTTTTTTTAATTTTCATTATCAATTTTATTTACCGCGCATCCGTTCAATCCTGTTGCGTTTCTCTTTGTCTTACTTTCTCTTTCTCTTCTTCATAATTTGATAGAAATCCCGCCGCGATTTGCGCGTGGAGAATCATGGTTTCAAGCGTCTAGCGGTGCTGTGTGCGCATCGTTGCGATTGGATCGCGGCGAGAAATCGTGTTTGCGATCCTTGTATGACACGCTCCGTTCGCCTAACCTGGTGTCGCGTTCACCAGTGGATCGCAGCTATACATACACAACGTGTAGAACGCATCACGGTTGATCTGATCGCGGAACAACCGTGGCGCGAGTCTTTGTCCCGTAAAACACGGCTCCTCGACCACGGAGTCGAGTCGTCGATATACGCGTTAAAATCGATATCGAGGCGAATACACGACGGCGTTCCCTCGTCTTCTTCATTGGGAGGACGACGAAGACGCCGGAGGCAGAGATGGGCAGAATCTTGCTGGAATAAAAAAAATCTATTCATGCAGGTTAAATTGGTGACAATTGGTCTCGAAAAAGCTATTAATTATACGTTTCGAAGGGGTGGTTTTGGAATTTTTAATTCTTGGGACCTGTAAGTGAACTTGTATACTTTATACAACATAAATTTAATTAAATAGCATAAAAGAATACTTAAAGTTGATACCTGATAGGATCAGTGTTCTCGTAGAACAAAACTCAAGAGCTTCAAACAACAAATTAAATACTAGCTTATAGGAGCCTTGAAAATTATTATCCTTCGTTCAGATAAGCTTTCCTATTATTTCAGTATGATTGTATTATTCAGTTTGTAATTTTATTCTTTCTAGATAAAAATTATGCCCATCTCTGGTCGGGGGTAGAGGGTAGAGGGCGTTCGTTATAAAATACGAAGCACGATTAACGTTCGTTGAGTTTGTTCGTTGCGGGGCGAGGGGCTTCGGTCCGACCGCCGCGTGTATTCGCGTCGACGCTTCTACCGTGTAATAAAATCAACATGAAGACGAGTACGCGACAGGCGGTGTCTCCTTGTTCTCAACAAACCCGTTGTATGCATGAAAAACATCTTGGTACAACAAAACACCTTCTGGTATTAACACTATAACGCGCGTCCCAACTATGCTGTCGCGTTCGAAGGGGATCATCGCCTGGAACCCTTCTAATACGACCATAGTCGCCGTCCAGAGATCATCGCGCATTGAACTGGCTCCCAACGAAAGGATTAAATATTCTGTGACGATAATCGACACGGGTCACGCTTGATTTCGAAACGAGTCAGTCCAACGTTGTCTTCGGACGTACAAGTCGATTGCTTCGTGTCTCAAACGATCGAGCTCTCGACTTCACAAGTTATGAGTCACGTAGGAGACTGAACACGCTGAGGAACATATCGCATACTCTTTATAATCTCTGTTCGTTAACCCCTTTACTCTCTCGCGAGACTAACATCGGTGAATCTCGAGGCTTCGTTGGACGAAGCCATTCTCGGCGAGCTTCGTATCGCTCGGTTAACGCCTTTAACTGGGACATTGTGTTACTCGAATTGGGACGGGAGGGCGTGTGGGTGAGAACGGCATCGGGATGGGAACGGGGAAGGCATTGAGAGTGGTTACTTGATTATTTTATTAAGAGTAATTAAGCTTGACGCCTCGGAGGTAGAGTCCAAGCGTTCGGGCCAGGCTGAGCGTGGGGGGCAGGACGTCACAGTTGCTGGTCCCTGCATGGTACCCAAATGTTCGGGCCAGACTGCTCGGCGATCACTTCCTTTACTTTCACGTAGATCTCCTCGGGCGTGTCGCCTTGCACCACGGCTGAAACAAAAGAAAGAGCATGCTCGTTTGGTGAATTTTAGGGTGCAGTTTTAGTATGGCAGAGGGGGGCTGAACCTCTTAGGTACATGTGTCTTTCTAGGTTTTTAGACTGTATTGGGTTGTTTCACCTTTAAAAATTTGCACGAAATTTCTGGACAACCCAATAGAATTTTCTTTGATACTTTGGAATATTTCTGATTCCCTAAACTAGCTAAATGAACGGCTACAACTGAAGAATTTAGTGCTATAGTGAAGATCAAAACGTGCCATTTTCAAAATTCTCCTAAGCTTCGAATATATCCTGCAAGAGTATCTCTCATTTCATAAAAAGTCGTAGTTTTCCAGATCTCTCAACGTTCAGAAATAATATTATAGAAAAAACGCTACCGGTGAAGTATTCTCCAAACTCCTGCTCCATCTTCAATGCTCGTTCGTACGTCTTTTTCGCTTGTTCCTCTGTCATTCTCTTGTTCATTTCCCTGCGATTGAGAACAGCGGCTCGTTAGGCAAACATAGGTGTGTACTTGAAATACGGAGACAGAGAGGTTCTACTTACATGACCGATTCAACGGATTTCGGTTTGATGAAGATGGCGATGGGATACAGCTGCGCCACTTGTAACCTCTTTATGGCGTTTCCGCTCACGTCAAGGATACAGTGTTTTCCCTGAAATTGCAAGAGTACTGTTGTTGATATCCAATATTCTAGCACTAGTATGATATACGAAGTGTCTTTTAATGGAAGGTGCGATTGAATAAGGAAATATGTATAATCTTTTTCACTCAGATTATAAATTACTCTACAACGTTCCAAACCCAAGAAGAGAGCATTTACTGTGGGACATCCTGTGTATATTATGAATTTTGTTCGTACCTTTTCGGCGACTTCTCGAACAGACGCCACGGAGGTTCCATAAAGATTGTCATTGTACTGTCCAGCTTCGATGAATAAGTGGTTCTGAATATCCCTCTCCATCTGTTCCCTCGACGCCACGAAGTGATAATCACGTCCATCCACTTCGTATTCTCTTCTACTCCTCGTTGTATCTGCGCCAAGAACCATACTTTCGATTACAATGTACGGAATTATTAAACAATTTTTTTTCTTCATTTTTCTAATATTTCGTTACAGTGTACTCTCTTAACTTCTCAATTAACGCATTGCGGACGAGCAATTCTGCCTGGAATCGGATGGTTTTCAATTTCCAGATAAAATTGGTTACCCAACAGCTACTCGTTTACAGAATATTTTACCTTTCATGATTAGCGGTAAAATCGAGTCCAATAAACTGAACCAATTTAATGCCCGTGGTATTTATCTGGAATCGAGTAATATCCGTGAAAGCAAACGTGTCGTTTGATATAGTTCATATCGTGAAAACGGCGTTTGAAATCTGGACCGATTACGTACGTGCGGAGTCTGAAAATCGATCTGTAAATGGTTCAAAAATATTGGGAATATCGAGTGCGACAAATTGTTTACTCGAATTCCATAATACAATATGTGGAAGAATTTTCGGACGAGCAACTCACAAATTGTTCCAACTTTCCTCAATTTTACAAATATTTTAACTATCCAGACGCATCGTAGACGTCCAATGCTCTCAGAAAACATGAAAGAACATTCTCGCTCTCTGAAACGTTTCCGGCTCTTAATTCTAACTCGAACTAAAACCGTTAATATGGAATGTGACTCTAAAACGTCGTGGCAAGTTCGTAAAATCCCAGGCAATCTCGCGATTCGTCCGTAATGCGTCAGACGACAGGTCGTTAACGTCGGGATTAAATGGTTTCACTTACGTGGCACACAGCTACCGAATTTGTCGGGGAACTCCGAGATGAGGTCGTCGTTGATGCGATCCTTGAGGGGTCCGAGGATAATGACAGGTCGAGTGTACTGTATGGTGAGCTGCTGGACTGCCTCGTACGACAACACATTTTCTTCGCTGCCTGCAATTTTCTGTGTGAGAACACTCCAAATTCCGCGGGTGGGCGTCGCGACGACCCATATAGGTATTATATATCCACGGTTAGAACGTTTACACTCTTTCAAACACGGGAACAAACGCTTCTCTCGACGTTACGGAGGACTCTATGGGTTTCCTTCGAACTGGGACACTTGGTGGCTGTTGTGACGTCAAAGCTTTGCTTTTTTTTATTTACGTTTAGTGACATGCTTCTCAAAGTAGAATAAATATGATAGCACTGGTCATTCATAATAGAAACTATTTTGATAAACTGGTGGAAGACCAGAGCATATCTTTGAGCAGCAATGTCATAGATCCTCCAATCCTTCCACTTAATGTCACGCCACTGAGTGCCCCTTTCGACTGAGCCACGATCGTATAATCGTCGACAGAGTATGAGTCGAGCAGTGGTAAATCTCAAAACGGTACTCGATTCGAAAAAAAAAAACAGTGGTATTTTGGTTAAGAGCCTGCGCAATAAACGCGAACAGACGGTTACGTATTATCCGAGGTGGGCAGAATTTTATTCGAATAACAGACAACGAACGAAACATTGTATCGCGTAATTAAAATTCCAACCTTTAATCATCGAAATTTGTATTTAGATGAGAATTTTGTCCACCTCAGCTGTTCGTTTCGATCGAGCCATGATCCATGCTTTAGCACTTAGGAGATCAAAGCGGGGATAGGAAAAGGGCCCAGCTCCCTAGAATCTAAAACTAAGGCGATCGAAGAGTATCAAGGTCGATGTGGCATTAGTATGTGGCGACTATGCTAATACTCAGAGCCGGAAGGGTTGGCTTTTGTAATCGATACTCAACGCCTCTACGCAGCGAAACGACTTTGGTACGGTTTGACGTCGATTCTTGTTACCTTCAGCAATTAATGCATTGTTTAATTCTCTAAGTTTGTACTTAACTTAAATTTTCACCTCATTTTTCACTTCGAATAAAATCATCATCGCAGTTTTATCGATGCCTTTAATACACCACAAATAGTTAAGTACTTCGTATTTACAATCAAAATAAATCTTCTCTCACGCAACAAGAAGCAACACGTTTGCTGTGACAATCTACACAAATTAGGAACCCTTTTAGGAACTCTACGCGTAGGATGATTAGCGTAAAGGGAAACGAAAACGACAAACAAACAGACAAAAGCACGTGTCGCGACTGTCTCAACTGCGCGAAGCGTTAACGACGTTTTGTTAATGCTCGGTTCAGATCAGGGACGGGAGATGAAGAACGTAACAAAAAAAGGGAGAATTAAAAAAAAAACTGAAAACGACGATTAGAGGAGGGTATCGATCATCGAAATCACGTTCGATTGAGTTAGTCGGATCCTAGTTGGTGTAATATCTGTTGCTCACTCCGGTTTCACACACTGACTCCTGTTTTTTTTGTTTGTCTTTTTTTCGTTTACACTTACTAAGCTCTTCATCATTCTCATCATCCTCCTTCTCCAGATAAACTAACGTCAGTTCCTCCATATAAGGCAGTTCAACACGATACAAAATTTCTCTACTCCCTGCGACGCAAGACAGATCACTTGAGTGGAGAACGGATGGAAGAAGCGCGACGTGAATGAAAGAGGGAGACGAGAATGAAGGCGCTAAATGCCGCAGTAGATGAAGTAGTTCCGTGATCACTGATAGCTGCTATTTTTAAGTCTTTGATGGATTTGCTTCGTTTAGCTCAAGATAAATGATTCGATCCAGGATTTAAAAAAGTTCCTCTGTCGATTCCATTATTATTTTAATGCAATTCTTTTTTGATTTTCCTTTTTTCTGCTTCTTTCTTTATACATTCAAATTGATTTTCTATATAACATAGGAATATGTTCGCATACTCACGGACTAGGTATGTTATTTTATCTCCATTACGTAGATACTTATGTATTTTGGTAGGAAAGTCAGGCTTGCATTAGAATATAAAATCAGCTATAATAAGTATTCGTATCATCGTAATTTTTTATTTCAAATTCTAATTGCTCATCTTTAATAACGACCTTTTTACACATTTTATACTTTATGTGGACAATAATACCCTTCGTATTATTTTAACTAAAATAATGAAGCTTGAAACAAAGATCGGACCCTTTTAAATCCTTGATACAGTTGATTATTATTTTAATGAAAGCTGATGGATTTTTATTTCACTCGTGAAACGCCGGCCACATGATCAGCACGGGCGAAGTTTTATTGACTTTCGCTCGTTCTCCCATAATTTTTATATAAACCCCATTACAGTCGTTAAATTTTTCAATAAGCTCCTCCCTGCTTTACTTCAATATGCACGGCCATTTTTTGCGCTTAGGTTTCATCACATCGACGAATGAAATTTGCGATGTTTATTTTGGAAAAAAAGCACAATACCCGATCGTTCAATTCGAGGAAATGAAAGGAAAAAAAACGGCATCGAATGTCAAAAGCGCCAATATTTGATTTGCCGTTTGATGGAAAAATCAATCAAACCGAGGCGTTCGATTCCCTGTGCAGACCGAACATTTTTTATCGGACAGCGTACAGAAATAGTTCACGGGTCTTGGTTTGCACGTGTCTATCGTCGCAATATCGTCTGACCTTTGTTAAATGGAAATTAGACTATGAAGAAAATTGACACGCTGAACATTGATGATGAATCGACTCGATGGATCGTTGAAAACGTTCTCCCTCAAGTTGCTATAGTTTTTTAAGCGACGAAAGCAAGTGTTAAGGGCCAATCTGGCAGTTTCTTTAAAGATTAAAGGTTCAAACATTTCGTTAACCCATTCACCGCCAGGCAAATTTAAAGCGTTTTCTTTGGGCGCCAAGATTCAATAGAGATGTGTAATTTAGGTTATTATTTTGATAATAATAAGTGATATTAAATTTGTTGTTTTAGAACAAAAATGTACGACCTTCTTTGCAATAATTCGTGACTCAAAAGACTATAAACTTATCCCTTGAATAATTTCAATCTCGTAGTTGGCAGCGAATGGGTCAAAGATTGACGATGTTACAGAACTTTCCATATCAATAAATAGATAAGCATTTTTCTAGTGACTTACGCATTAATACAAATAATTCAAAACATTTCGTGTACTTTATATTTTGTCTTCATAAAAAAGAAAAACTTTTGTTGCAGAGTTCATTCTACCAGCAATTTTCAGCTCAAAGTACCAGATTGCCCCCTTAAGAACTGACAACGGTCGACAAAAGACTTTAACAATGGATTTGTCCTCTAAAAGGATTGTTATATCACGGCGATGAACGTGTGGTTTGTTAATTGATGCGACGGAGATGAAACGACTTGGGAGGGAGACGCATAATGGAGTCTGGAACGAATTGCAGACAGAGGGAAAGGTACAAATAGAGAGGTCGTGGGAGAGAAAAACAGTGAAAATGTGAAGAGAGAGAAGAGAGAGAGAGAGACGTGATTACCTTCGGTGTTAGTGTCGTCCTGGGTGTAGCACAGCATGAATGCTAAAACATAACAAGTTCAATATTTCAGTATACGTTGCGTACTAACAAGCGGCCGTTAATAATTGCTAGGATTAATTAAAGCTTTAAGCATGAATATCTCCTACCGTCGAGGCTAACTCGATTATTCGAACCCGACTCGATGGTCCGTGACGATAGCGCGCAGGCTCGCCTATCTGTTTGCGACGTGTGCACGAGTTACTGGTTCGTACATTATTGCAATAAAAAATCTATTTTTCTGTGTTGTTAGGTATCAATCAACGAATTTGTTAAAAAGAAAACAATAAATATTGGACGTTCCAGAGCAATTGTATTTTTTTTTGTCTCGCGTGATGATCGTTGATTCAGTTCTGTTGGTTTCGTTGAGTAGTATCAAATTTAGAGTATGCTATTTTATCCCAATTAAAGCTTTATTTAGTTGCAGTTTATATTCTGGCGGATACAAGAATACAAACTTAATGTAAATAAATAGAACTCGCGTGCGAATACATTTTATCGCGAGACAAACATAGTTGCCTTGGAAAGCACAATAGTTATTCTTATCTGTTAATACTTTTGCTCTGAACGTAATTATCACACTGTTGACTATTACCGTTGTATAATAATGAGTCTCGTAGTTTATGCGACACTAACGCGTTGACTATTGCGGAGGTCGCTGATAATCAGTGGTGACGGTTTCATGATTAATTTTTCATTGAAAACAATCGATTTTTAAAAGTAACACATATCACAAAAAAAAACCTTCTGAAATACATTGATACCAGAGTCTCTAAAAATTTGGACTCAAAATGCTCGACAATCAACGCGTTAACAGCTACCATCTTTCAACGATCCACAATCGAAGAAAGATGGCGCATTAGGGTAACGAGGGAGCCCGAGAGCAGCTTCGGCATTTTGTCTTCCCACGCAAATGGACTTACAATTGGGGGGGGGGGGGTCGAGCGCAGCTTGACTTAAGACTCGTTAATACAGCGTTAAGTAAAGAAGAAACTTTCGAGTACGAATCGCAACGAAAATGTCCAATCAGCAATGTGAACGATAATCGGTCGCAACTTTCGTCGGGACGCGAATCTGTCTAACTACCACTGCGAGTAACGTAAACGGGCAACACCGAAAACTTTCGTCCATTGCGACTATGTACACGTGCAGGATCGCTACAAGCTGTTCGAGGGAAGCTGTGCATCTACCACGATCTACAAAAAGGTATTAGCCAGTTAGAAAGCGTGTCGAATAAGTGGTCCAGTCACTCTAGAATTGAGAAAATCGTTCTGCCAAGCCGATTTTTTGCTAATATACACAAAACACTCCTACGCACAATATAGTTTAATCCGTTCTTTATTTGTGTACATGAAAAGAAAGACCAGTTTTCCTTGAAAACTACACTATATTGTAGGAGTCTAACCGAAAAATAAGGCACGGGGATTCGAACCCACGATCCTCGGATCCACAGTCGACCGCTTTACCTACGCGACCAATCCCGTACCCTACGTTTCGTGTTCTTATTTGACTCCTTATTGTTGGGTATGGGAGGCGCGGAAACTACAATATGAATTCTTTTTTAATTTTTCCCATACTAATTTTAGTTTTAGTAATGAAAAAATAATTCATGTCTGAAAGGGTTAAAAACCATCACAATAATAATAACATTCAATTTTATATAAGTGTATACATTCTGTATACATCTCGAAAAAGTTAGTCGGTTAAAGATACCTCCACAATCAAATCTGAAGCGACTGGAACGTGTGATAATTCAATGACTTTGCTGGTTAGAATGCAGGCAAATGCATGATGCGAGTTCTCGGTGCAAGGATGAAACTGCAGCGTGCTCAAGCACAGAATATACCAAAGAAAAAAAAAATGTCTCGAGATGCGTGACGCCTCACAGGGACGCTAATATCGTTTCCGTCTCGTTTTATTTCCATTTACGATTCGTTTGTTATTGATTTAATAATTGACGATGACAGAACACTATGTGTGCGCGCTCGCGTGTATATGTGTCTCTGGTGTTTGTGTGTGTGTGTGTGTTTCCGTGTGTATCATGTCTCTTTTGTTGACCAACTTGGTATACTTACGTGTAGGATCGTTTTCATTCTCGGGTGTCGTGGGCGACCCTACACAAGCAGGCAAAAACAAAACACATGTCACGTTTTCACATGGTATAAACACAAAAGCTCAATCGGAAGTTGGGCGTAACGTCGCATCTGTCACGAATATCTAAACGATCACGACTGGCAAATGTATCAAAAATTAACACGTCCATTTCCTTACTCTAACTTCGTTCGATTCAATGGCGAAACGTGGTGCTACCAGTACCATAGTACTCTCTTACCCAGGGGCCCGCTTCGGACGTGATCGGCAAAGTCTCTACGTTAACACTGATCGATAATCGGGAGGTAAAGGCACAAACGGGTAACATCAAAGAAGAAAATAATTCAGACGGCTAAAGGTTACGAGATTCCAATGACATTAAATAAGGTCGTTGACTCGACGCTCGTACAAGTTATGGTATTTTCACGATAGCAGAGATCATTAAAAAAAGAAGGGGTTGCAGAGAACACACGTGAGAATTCTAACTGTAAATCCAAACACACGGGTCTAGATATAAATATATACGTATAGTGACTGAGAAATACGAGAATAAAAAAAAAGGAAAAAAAAAGAAGACCATGTAGAAAACCACAATAGATATATATGGGTCTGAACATGCACAGAACGTGCAGGATACGAGCGGCGAGGTTTCGAGATACTCACGTTCCTGGTCCGAACCATCCTCGGATTTGTCGTCCTTGCTCTTCATGAACGGGAACTTCCTGCTGAACGAGAAATTCTTCTTTTTCCTGTCCAGGGTCGATTGCTGTAATTGGTCAACCGTCTGTTAGGTAAACAATTGTTATATGAGAAACAGTAGAGAACAGGAGAAGCCTAGCGTAGAAAATAGAAATGTACAGAGTTTAGTGAGTAGAGAGTGTTGGTGCTTAGTCTAGCGAAAGAAGAAGAAGCGTTGCACGTTTTGCAGACTCTGGTCGCGCACTGGATGAAAATATTCTACAAAAGGGGAATCGGTTTGGTACGGATTTGTAATCTTTGTAGAATATTTTCCGAGTCCGCGTAGAGAGTTATCGAGAGATATTCAGATACAATTGACAGCTGGCGAGGCTTACCTTGTCGAGGATGACGGGCATGTGGCCTTGGAACTTGACGGAACGATCCCTGGCGCGTTGCTTCCGTTCCCATCGCCTGCGCGACGGTATTATCCCAAGGCCCTCCTCCTCCCCTTGAGGATTCACTCTTCTGGCCTGCCACCATTCATCGTCGCTGGCGTTCGTCACGTGTAGGATTTCACCGTAACGGAATGCCAAACCACGGCTCGGCAGCCCGTCGTCCTTGTTAGGATCGTAGTCGAACAACGCTCTGCGAAGCAAAACGTAAACCAATCTCTAGCGACTGATAAAAAATTGCTGGACCTTCGCTATGCTGCGCTCCAAGTATCCCAAGCAGGCGGTCTGTTCGACTAATCTATTTTTCTTTCATTTCTTTCATCATGTTCAGCTATGTCGTTCGTATGTTATTAATTAAATGACTTTTACAAAAAATAAATTTAGTCTTGGATATGTGTGGAGAGAGGTAGGTTCGTTAAAGGGAATGTCCTTCTGCGCATAAGTAGAATGAGGACGACTAGTGTCAGATCATGGTGGCTGACCTAGTACCCTTACGAGGGAAATCTTCGCCTGGCTTGGTAAGATACCACTAATTTTAAAATACACAAAATCGAATGAAAAAATGGTCTTTAAAATATTTTCAACTTATTTCTGTTTGACATGCCTGACTCACGAAAGGAACAGTGCAAGCAATATGTATTTTCACAGCTACGCGTACCTGACGTAAAGTGATTTCTTCTGCGAGGTCCTCATGAGGGTGCCTGTCATCATATTCTGCTGGGAGATCTGTTGTTTAAGATCATGGATCTTGGCCTCGAATCTGTTGTAGTCTTCGGGCTTGTACTGTACCACGATCGTCACTGTCTGGCCAGTACCCTGGACACGAATATCAAAACTGTCAGCTGACATGCGTTTGCAGTCGTAGAATTTATTTCCTTTTATTAGTAACCTGTTTACACCAAACGCGTGATGTGTGGTGACGTAATTATACGCTTCTATTGCCGGAAGCTGCAAAGAATGACCGTGAATGATGCTCACGATGAAAAAAACGTCTTTCAGTACATAAATTGCATTTTCACGATACCATTACTATTAGATACTAGTTTATATGTTACGAAATCCTGAGCAATCATAGAAGACATCTTATCATTTAATTTGAGTACCATCCAAGGCTAGTCTCTTGAATTCTCCAGTATAAAAGTGGAGAACGAAAATTCCAGATTCAACTTTTTTTTGTGTCTTTAGATGGAAGCAAAGGACTTGCGAATACTTTAGTCGCCTATCCACGTTGCATCACATTTGAATTGGAAACAATTTGAGAAAGAAAGGCTCGAGCGATAGAAAAACTCTGCAACTGACAAAGTGGTCATTTTAAAGTACCTTGAGGGCTGCGGCGGCCTCTTCATGAGTGGCTGTCCGAAGATTAATGCCATTGACACTGAGTATTTGATCGCCACGACGCAGTTCACCGCTGAGGTCGGCCGGGCCTCCGGCTAGGATGAAGGAAATGAAAATTCCCTCGCCATCTTCGCCACCGACGATGTTGAAACCCAGTCCGGAGGAGCCTTTGTTAAGTACGACCGTGCGTACCTCTCTGCAACATCAAGACAAAGCACTTCTTAATTAAAACATTCATAAAATACCGCACTGGAAATTAATTACTTTAAACTGGACAATTTTATTAATTTATGTTTTAATTTGGGTTCATTCCAAGGAGCTTAAATTAAAACATCAGGTATATAAACTGGCTTGCTTCTGTGGATATTTTAGAAGGCAGTTTTAATTCAATTAATTTGTTATGTTAAGTTGCCGGGTTAATTTGAGATGTATCAAGATAAGGGATGAGAAACTCGCCCTTCAAACTTAATGGAAATTTAATCAACTGTCTGGCATTCTAAAGAGCTGCGTTACTTAATTAACCAAATTTACAATACACTTAAGTGCACGTAAATAGGAGTGACGTTTTTCAATCGAAAATTTAATTAGAAAATTGCCCAGAGAGCTTGCTCTAATTCAGAAGAGTTCTCTCGTACAATATTCCCAAATAAATACGTGATTTTCAATATCGATGCTCAGAATTATTAATTCTGTTTTCAGACGAACAATCGAGGGTAATAGGTACCGGATGGAGTAAATAGTTCCACCGCATAATAGTCGGTAGTTTCCAAGCGACTCATAATCGCAATTAGAGTAACAAGATTCTTCTTAATCGCGGACGAAAGACGCAAAGTGATTCCAGCCGCTCGTTGTTCCTCCTCCGTCTTCCCAAGGGGCCAAAGTTTTTTCATTACGGTCTGACGTAGTATCGAGTTCTCGAACTATGTCGCCGGTCATTAATTGCTCCACTTCTCATGGTACTTTAATTAAAGTCACTGGCGAAGACGAGGTGCGCTAAAATAACTTTAAAGAGGGACAACGGAGCCAGTAGTAATTAAATATTTCTAATCAATTCAAAGCACATTGATTCAATATTGGCGAACCTTTGTCGTATTATAAAAAAAAAAAAAAAATATGCAATTGTATACAGCTGTACATGATTTCGTTTTGCGATCAGAGAATCTGGAAGGAATTTATTTGCAAGGTTTAACGAACTGCAATTAATTACTTATTGAATATAAATATTAGAATGATATTGGAATATCAGCATGTGCGTATAAATTAATACACAATGCATAAATAAATACCGAGCTTCGTTTTCTAGGGTAACATTTGCTCGAATGTCTGCGCCAACCTGAATATCGAAGAAAATAAACTATCCATAATTTCTGATACAATCCATTAAACTCGACCTTCAATTTTCCAATAAAATTCGTTATTATTACGTAAATAAGTCATCCATAATTTTGAATACGTATAAAATCAGATTGAACAAAATTTCTTAATCAATTATTTAATTAACTTTTAAAGAAGAATCGTTCGGCTAGTTTCTATTTGGGATTTTTCTCAGTTTGTCGCTAGTTTTTCTAAGAACAAGGGAAACAAGTGGAGAGCCTAGTCGAGGTTATCAGGTTTCATCGAAAGACAAGCAAGTCGTGGACACGGTTTACTCTATGCCAGCGATCGTTTGCTTAACCGTTCGTTCCCGTTACGAGCGCACTCGATCCAGAGAAAAGCGTATCGTACGGGAAACGTGGAAACACGGAATTCCTTCCTGGGCGCAACTTCGTTGGCTGTGTGGCAGTTAATCACGAAATAGCAGAATCGAGTTCCCGTGGGCATTACCCTGTCACGAGATACAATTCTCGCGTCGATGGGGGAACACGAAACAATTTGTGAACGGAATCTCGTTTTCCTACCTGCCCGATGCATTGTACGCACGAAACCCGTGATTTTAACGGCTCTGACGCTGGAACGCGTTCGTCGACGTTGCGTGCCCCGATATCGACAATTTGATGAGATTGGCCGGGCATTCGTCCATATGAAGTTTCATAATTTGACAAATTTGACCGACGCCAAAGGTTTGGGAAATTATAAAGCATGGAAATTTCTTGATTCTACTCTTGTCCTTCCCTCGTGTTGCACTTTTATTCTATATTATCCGAGATTCGTCTTGGCTCTCCTCGGAAGCAAAGCTAGAAAGCTATCTAGCAACTGTCCGGAAACTTTAGCACGCCAACGTACGTGATGCCGCTGTTGGATAACCCTCCAGGGAACGAGGGCTCCGCCTTTCCTTTTAAGCAATATTACTGTATTTATAGCTGACTCGTTTCAGACCAAGTAACATATATTGCAAACATTCTTCTGCAGATTAACTCCACTTTTTGAAAAATCATGAATTTATGTGCCAAAGCACTCGGTACAGTCACAAATTTTTATATTTATGTTAACTTTCCTGAAAAGGAAAGAACTTTGTTCAATATTTATTTGAATTTATATTATAAAGGGAAATTTAAAAAGCAATTTAAAAAGCAATTATTTTATCCCATTATTCGACATTTTGTTTTATAGAATTAATCGATTTGTGAAATGAACGGCTCATATAGTCTCCGTTATTTGAACTCAGAGGCAAACGAATACAAAGAAAACATTAATTAAATAGTCGTTTTAAAAATGAAATAAAATGTCCGAATAAATGCTTCCTACAAACAAACAATGTTAAAAGAAAGCAATCCCATCTTAAACCTTCATCATAAAATAAAATAATACCCATCTCTAAACACACCAGAGAAGTGTATCACGTCTCAGTTTCCCAAGGACATCCGTCATTCCAGTTAAAAATCGCAAGAAACACTTTCAGATCTAATTTACCAATCACCAGGAACGACGAGAGCTCGCGGATCGATTAATTTGCGTATTTCACGAGCCATCCAACGACGACGTCTCGACGGTCGACGTCGACGCCACGTCAATCATCTAACGCTTGCAGAAATTGCGCCATCGAGCTTTCTCCTAGAGTGTACGGTATTTCCGCAAATACTCCTCCACGTGTTCCGCGTCCCGGCGTCGCTGGCGCTGTGGAATTACCGCGTTAATTAAGGTCCCCATTCAAATTCGACCACTTGAGATTGCCTACGGGTACCCGAGGCGGATATCATCCGCCGTGTAAATCCGACTCGTGGTTCCCAAGAGCCACACGAGGGTACGCGTGTCGTCTTCGAAGCCTCCGGTGCGCGACAACCTGCTTTGGCTGCGAGTTACGCGGAAATGAATATCGCCTAACGGCCTCTCGAGGCTCTCGCGGCATTCTAATAACTCCAGAATGCGGAACGAAATGCCTCGGTGTTGTTTCGGAACGATTATGAATTATTCCATTCGATGGGATTTGGTGTTTGCGTTGGGAGCGTCCTGCCACAGGTAAGTGGATCACTTATGTTTGTTGTTTGGTACAGGATGATTATGAACTTTAAAGCAGTATTTGTTTGTAAGCTGGGAGTACAAAAATAAAGATGTACAGTCAGTCCCACAAGTATTCGTACCTTCTATGTTCATTTAAGAAGTTTGTCTAAATTAAATGATAAATGTGTCAGCTGAAGAATATGCTGACTGATAGTGTCTTCAAAAATAAACTCCGATTAATTCAAAAATGTTTCTCAATTTATTTCTTTTTATTCCCAGGCCACGGGTTGGGAGTGCTCGCGAGCTTGAATCAGACTATGCTTCAGCAATATCTGGGGACGCTTTGGCAACTTTCCGCGTCACAGTTGAGGTAGCAAAATTTTCAAAAACGGCAGATGCACGAAAAAACCATTGACACGATTCGTCGTTAATTAAACTGCGTCACGAAAATTTCAACGAGCCGCGAGTTTTTCGCAAAACACGGAGGGCGAGATACGGCAGGCGAGCACTGGAGGAGAGGGTGGAAAAAGTTGGGCGTCTAATTAAGATTCTCGCGAAAATTCTGAGCCCATTCAGGTCGGCTCATCGCCCATGAGCGTTTGCTCGACCGCTTCCACGACCAGTTGAACCGTCCGAAACCTAGATTCGACCTCCTTCCTTCCACGGGGAGAATTCCCCGGTCCTGAAAGGTCGATTTTCATTCCGTTCCAGGAGAGCCACTCAACGCACGGGCCTCTCGCTTGCGTTAACAAAGGCCTCAAATTAGTGGTCGGACGGTGCAGCTGCGTTTCCAGGGCTCCATTGAGGTCACGTCGCAATGCACACGACTGATAAACCTAGGGTTGGTGGTCTGTTTCCAGGGTTGGTGAAATTTACGGTAAATTTAGAAGCTCGCGACCGCTCGTCGAGCGTTTTAGGTCTACAACTTCCTCACGAGACCAAGCTTCCTCAAACGTATTCGATGGTCGTCCACTGTTCCTCGTATTTGACCCCTCGATTACTCACGGTACCTTAGTCAACATTTTATTGCGGTACTTGAAGAAGAATTTATGTATGTTCTGAACATAAAAACGTGACACTTGAATTTTATTATTGAAATTTATTATTTTTCTGACTTTTACCAGCCTTTTGTTGCCAACCCCCTGTAGCTTTTCCAGGAGCCTCAAAACATAAAGTAAGCAGTTCAATCAATGTGCAAAGTTTTTTCATATCGATAGGTAGCGTTTGACAGGATGGAAAGGCGATCAATTAAAAAATAGAAGTAAAAAGAAACAGGCTGTAAGCCCCGTTGCCACTCGTTACTGAATAGAGCAACTATATTTAGCCAGTACTACCGCAAAGCACGAAATGTCAATACTTTGCGTTGTGCACCACAAAATGTTGCAACGTAAGGCTCGGCGATAAAACCTCTGAAATAGAAACGAAACCGTATTCAATGTTGCAATAAAAGGCAACCCAATAAAACACGTGAAATAGGAACTAAACTGCACCCAATGGCCTCGTGTGTCCACTTCTCTCATACATTCTTATGGTATTCATCATTCATTCCTGTATTTGATTTTAAACATTCATGAGATCCCGAAATTGGAATGATTTAATAGTACTCAAATAAATACAGTCATAATAAATGTTTCATTGTAAATATGTACATAGACAAACTTTACCCCAGATGAGAACAAATTATTTGGAAACATCAAACCTATCATTTAGTTTAAACAAATTCCTTCAATAAACACAGAGGTTATGAATATTTATGGGACTGAGTGTATTCAGTTTTCATAATATTTGCTCCAATAGCTCCACCAAACTCAATATCGA